GCTCACCCACGGTCATTCAGCGAGGAAGCCGTGGGTCACCCACCTACGAAGCTGTGAGGCTGGCCCCAAACCCTGTACTCAGCCACGGAGACGTGTGTCCCCTAGGCAGCAGGCTGATTTTGAGAAACCCCATATCTTATTTTAATTTGACTTTTCACTCCCCATCGCACCAGCCTTGACCAACCTCACACCCAGCCTGAATCCCCATAATCACTTCCTCCTGGGACTCCTCCGCTTCCAACCATCTCATCTCAACCTTCCTCTGCTCCATCCCAGGGCTGTGAGATGGTACAAACTCACTGTAAGGAAAAGCCCAGTCCACACCACGGCCTCCAAGGCTCCAGGAGCTGGCCTCTCTGACTCTGCCTCCTCCCTGCCCATCCCACAGTGCCTTAAACATCCCAGGCCTGCTGCCAGCCCCACACCTTCACAGGGGCTGTTCCCTCTGCCCGGAACAAGCTTCCTCACGTGGCACCTTGAAGTCTTTGCTCAGATGTCATCACCTTCACTGCACCCACCCTTACCCCCACCCCTCCCCACCCTGTTCTCTCTCTGTCTTGGCACCATCCACCTTCCCAGGTGACCCGCGTTCCTCATTCACTGTTATCTCCCTCGTTACGATGAGGCTCTAGGTGAGCAGGGATCCTTGTTTCCTTCTCTAATTGTGCCTGGCACAAAGGAGGCACTCAACAAGTATGTAAAGTGAATGAGTGACTTTTTAACCTCTCTTGGGATCTGTCCTTGACTCCCCATCATCCCTCTATGCTAGGAGCTGGAAAGCCAAGATGAAAGCTCAGTTCAGCTGATAGATCTTGCCAACGATGGGCAGACTTTCACCCTAGAAGCTGGATGAGCCATTCCTTGTTTGGCCAGGACAGATGTGGACAGAGACCCACAGGGTTTGCATGCATGAAGGGTTGCAGATCCAGACGGCTGGATCGTCTGGGTTGCAGTCCCATCCTCACCCCAGTGTGAATGGCTGCTGGTAGCAGCAAAGTACCACACACTGCAGGCTAAAACAACAGCAATTGATTATCTCACAGCCCTGGAGGCTACAAGTCTGAGGTCAAGGTGTCCACATCATTGGTTCCTTCTGAGGCTAGGAGGGAACCACTGTCCCAGGCCTCTCGCCTGGCTGTTGGGCATTTGCTGGCACCCCTCAGCAGTCCTTGGCTTGTGGAAGCATCACCCATCTGCCTCCATCTTCACACCACCTTCTCCCTGTGTCTCTTTACATGGCCTCCTTTATAAGAGGGCACCCGTCATAGTGGATTAGGGCCCAACCCCAATAGTCTCATTTTACCCCTATAAAGACCCTATTTCCAAATAAACTCACATGCTGAGGTCCTGGGTGTTAGGACTTCAACATATCCTTTGGAAGAGATCTTTTGGACATAATTCACCCTCTAACATCACCTACGTATTTCTTTGTCGTACCTAGATCATGGGAGTCAAGAAATAAGGACAGAAAAGGACTGGGCTCGGTGGCCCATTCCTGTAATCCCAACACTTTGGGAGGCTGAGGTAGGAGGATCACTTGAGCTCAGAAGTGCGAGATCAGCCCGGGCAATAAAGTGAAATCCCATCTCTATAATAATTTTTTTTTTTCTAGAAAGGTAAGAACAATGCCTTGGAGAGCAAATTAAGTACAATTAAGGATCTTCTAACCCTGATTGCCTTTTTGCAAAGCAATTGGACATGTCTTACGGGGAGAGGAAACCCCAGATTCTAGGTACATTAGATCAGCATTTAGCTTTTTTCAAAGTCATCCACTGCACTCATGAGTACCTCCTAGGAAAGACTAGTTATAAATACTATAATTGTATATAATTGAACTCAAATTTTCACAAAACAGTCTGCACCCCTACTGTGACTGATACACTCAGATAATTTATATCTATAAGATTTAGTTCCATTTCCTTCTTATAAAAGAGTAACTGCTGGCCGGGCATGGTGGCTCACGCCTATAATCCCAGCACTTTGGGAGGCCGAGGCAGACAGATCACCTGAGGTCAGGAGTTAGAGACCAGCCTGGCCAATATAGAAAAACCCCATCTCTACTAAAAATACAAAAATTAGCTGGACATGGTGGCGGGTGCCTGTAATTCCAGCTACTCGAGAGGCTGAGGCAGGAGAATGGCTTGAACCTGGGAGGCAGAGGTTGCAGTGAGCTGAGATCGTGCCATTGCACTCCAGCCTGGGCGACAAGAGTGAGACTCCATCTCAAAAAACAATTTAAAAAAGTAATTAATTAAAAATAAAAGACTAGCTGCAGTTCATTATATTGAGTTTGATACCCACGGATGGTGTCTACTTAGATTTTGAAAACTATTCTCGAGTCTGCCTCCTAATGACCAGCTCTGGAGCTTCACTGCTCCCCCCAGGGAAGTGCAAATTGCTTTAGAGAACAGGAGGCCAATGGGAGGGGCACAGAGTTTAGGGCTAGTTACAGTGTGGGAATGGCGGGAATTAGCCCCATCAGGAGAATGAGAATAAACTGCAAGACTCAGTGTCATGGCAAAACTTTGTGACACTCACACCCCCCAGGCTCCTGTTTTCAAGGCTACATTTGTGTGGACACAGCTGGCTAAAATTCGTCTCTCTTGACCCCACCCCCACCCCCACCCCCAGCCATGTGAGGCTCAGGCCTCAAATAGAAAGACCCCAGGAAGACAGGGGGAGGGAACCAGGTCTTGGCATTTCAAGGCACAGTTTTAATAGTTTTTAATTCCTTTCCCCATTGTGTACATCCAGTCCAGTGGCGTCTTTTATACACGATAAACGCTTATCAATGCGCTCGGCATGTCAATGTGCACAGCACATACATCACAACGAGGGTCGGCACCTGTATAAAACTACAGATTCTGAAAACAGTGGCACATACAGGAACCTTGAATCCCCATCGCAGCAATAGGAAAACAATATTTTAAAGGGACAGTTACGTCCTTACAGGCATCACACATGATTTGTTGAAGAAATATCTGTAAGCAGTGGTCAAGGGTGATTAAACCTAAGACATGTTAATTCCTGACAATCTGATTGGGCTCTGAGACAAGAAATCTCATAATAATTTAAGGCATTTAAGACAATCATGGTTTGTCACTAGGTGAATACATTAAAATCCAGAAAGTCCACGGATGATCCCGCCACACCCCCCTCTCGACGCCAAACAGCATGGAGACCTGCAAACAGCGTCTTTCCTCAACACTCCTGGAGCCTAGGGTGTGGTTTAAAACTTAAAAACATTTTATTGCATTGTAGGAACAGCAGTTTAAGATGTGTGGTCCTGTCTCAGTGGCTTTGCAAGTGTCTTCTTTCTTCCAGGCCTTGGTTAAGAATAGTATTTTAAGTCGATGATTTGCATTCGAACAAAGAGTTTTCAAAAGGAATGTGAAAGACAAAAACTCCAATCAGATTTTCCAGTCTTGCTGTCTGTAGACTCCCATAAAGTTAATTCGGGAGACGGTTCAGAAACATCCTAGGAGAGTATTAAAGTCTTGACGAAACATTCGGAGCATTTCTGGTAGCAAGCTAAGGTCATTTTGTATAAACTCTAAAAAGTCATTCATTAAAATTAAATGTTTGCCATCACCTCGGAACTTTTTTTAAACATCACCGACCCTGCCTCTTCCACGGTTGCTTCAACGACAGGGGTTACATTTGTAAAATATATAAAGAAAAATATAAGGTTACTTGGTGACCATATAGTGCATGTAACAGCTGTCTGCAAATATTTTCACCATGATCACCCTTACTAAAAGTAAATCACAGGGTAAAGATAGCTCAAACGTGACAAGGTTCGAATAGGACGCACCGACGCTATCTGCAATCCTTTTTGGCTACATATGGGGAAAAAAAAAAGCCACTTGGGATGGCATACTCCTGCACTGGGTCTGAGCTTTCTGCAGGTTTCGCCGGGGGTTTCAGGGCTTGTGAGGTAGATGTTAAACGCACTTAAGCAGGGAATGCATCAGAAAGCAGCAGGCTCCTCCACGCAAACACTGCACCAATTGTTTTGTACAATTACAAGGACATTTCACTTAAAAATAATAGCTAGCTCTAGCCCGAAGCTCCCTAAGCACAGGGAAGCCCGTTTTGAGGGGGGTTTGATGGTTTGTTGTAAAAAACATATTCTATCACACCATCAGAAGCATCTGCCATCACAAATTATTTTTCGTCACTAGGGTTTTGTTTGTGATTGCAAACACACCATCTTGTCCATTTCTAGCCTTCCAGTGGGATATCAATTCCTCTCCATGGAATTTATGAAGGAACTTCGTCCTTTCCCCAATGGTCACAGCGATGGGGGCTGTCGCTGATCCAAAAAAGGCAAACAGGAGTTTATAAAGTTGTCCAAGGGTCTCTCCCATCTGGTAGATCGAGGAAGATTGACTACAGGGAAGTTCAAAGGTCAGTCTTGGCAGATCTAAAAACAGAGTGGCAGCGAGGACGTCGACACCGCACTTTCTGTACCCGAAGTAAACCGATATGTCCCGATTAATAGCAACAGGGCACAAAGGGAGCGGGCCTCTGAGGATGCTCGCAGAGAGCCAAGCCCGGGAGCTCCCTGAACTGGCTTCTGAAGCCTCAGGCAGGCCTTTCCAGACAGAGAGATGCTCCACGCCATACTACAGGGGTTGACATCGGAATCCAATGTCACCTTTTTTTTTTTTTTTTTTTAAACACAGAATAGCAGCACACTCGTGACAACTTTTGACAAGTTCAAGAAATCCAGTGGTAAGATTCTCTGTTGCACCGGAAAAGTCAGAGTTGGTTTTTTGTTTTTGGTTTTGTCTTTTTTTTCCCCCAGAAAATTAAAAAACACACCCGCAGAACTATAAATAATTTGGTGGCAATATATACACATTTAAATAATTAATTTAAATATCTTACACCTACTCTTGCATTAAACTCTTCATCCGAAGAAAGTGCACGAAGGTGGCCCTCGGCACTCCCCTCCGGGGGGCTTCCCGAGGCTGAGGCAAGGGTCCTCCGGAGGGTCACAGCCTGGGGAGGAAGTGGGTGACCTTCATGGTGGGCGACACTCGATTCCCCTTCTTGGTCTTCCCATTCTTGCTCAGGGCGATGAACATGCCCGGGTATTTGTAGGACTCGTAGGCATTATAGTTGTTGGGGAGGAGAATCTCCTTGAACTTGCACTCATCAGTGAAGAAGGGCTGCAGCAAAGCAGGGCAGTGTCAGGGCTGGGGCACCTCTTGGGCAAGGTACCCAGCCTGAGGCCAGGGGTCAGAACCCCCTTCTGTCCCAGACCCCACCCTGGGCTGAGATGTGTCTCCTGCACAGTTAGGGTGTCAAGACCCTCACAGGGTGAGAAGGGGGCATGGCCAGCCCACAACAGCTGGTGCTCTCACCACTTGCCCTGCACCTAGCAGCCAGAGAATTCATCCCCTTCGCGTCCAGCCTCAAGTCGGCAGTTCCAATGCTGAGACCCACCACTCTGGACTAGAGAAGAGAAGGGCTCTCAACAGCGCCCTTTCCTCGGGCTGGGAGGGGCCCACTCAGGGATGGCAGGAACCTCATTGTTCCTGCCTTGGGGCTGCTTCCTTTGTCTGGGCAGCCCTGCCGGTCCCGTGACCCGGTGACCCTGCCACCCCTCCAAGACCCAGGCACAGGTGGGGCTGCAGAAGCCACGATCCTGCCAGCCACGTCCGCTGTTCCCCAACTAGGTACCTGGCCAGACCCCTGCGGTACTCACCGAGCCATAGAGCTTGCCCTTGCTGCTCATGGCCACGAAGAACCGGCTGGCCACGCCGAAGATGCTCACCACGCCCCGCTCCACCGGCGAGAGCTCCAGCAGGCCTGGGGGCGGGGCGCAGGTCATTGAGGGGCAGGTGACCCCTGGCCCACTCCGCCCCTCGGCCTGTTCGCCTCCGGGCACCCTATTTCTGGGGTGGGATTGGGGATAAAAGGCTCGGGGTTCCCGGCGTAGCCGCCCCCAAGGGCCTCCGGAGCCCAAGCTGCCCACTAGGGCCTCCGGAGCCCAAGCTTGCGCTAGCTCAGATTAGCTTGCCTGCGTAGGGGACCTCCGGCGGCCGCACCCAGCCCCACACCTTCAGAAGCGAGCCCACCCCAGCGGTTCCCCAGCCTGGCCCAGGCCGG